ACGATCGTGGCTCAGCTTCATCTGGTCCATACGTGTAGTCACGCATATTGATGATAGCCCCTTGTGCTGGAAGCACCGGATTAGTATGGCGCTGATTCGTCTCAAACCGGAATGGCGTGCTGTGTTCTCTATCAGCAAGACACGCAACGTCCTCACACACCTGGGGGACATCAGCTGGGCTTAAATGCGGCATTCGTTTTGCAACTCGAGGGTCCAAAAACGATATCCAAGTGAGATTGCTCTTCTCGATTACACTGAATTGCTTTTTGAATAACTTTAGTAAAATCTCGCGACACTCGTTCATCATAAGAATAACTTCTTCGACGTAGCTTTCATCACCTACAAAGCGGCCCCGTGCGAGCGATCAAGTGATCTCGACTTAGCCATTTCCGTATGCCAGATAGAGCTGGAAGAACCAACGAAATGGTTGGATAATTTTGATCACCCAGTTCTGGGTTGACCTCTGAAAATGGATGGAGGAGAGTGGCTAGACACTAGATTGTCAGCCATTCAGCCGTCTTTGGCCTTCGCAGCTTCGCTTCCATGTCTTTGAACCCCTTGCGACTCTCTAAAGACTTGATGTGAGTAAAAAAAGCCACAAGCGCAGGCTCCAAGTCGATAAAGCGCTGGATCATCAGCAAACAGCTATTCCATCGCGTCGGGCAGTCCACCTGTACATTAACTGTTTCATGATGGTTTATACCAAATTCCCGAACTTATATTGCACCAAGAGAATTACGACCCTTCGGTAATTTCCTGAAGTACACGGCTAGTGTTCGAAAGCATTGCACAATTCTGCGCACAATGGCCATTTCATTTCGCTGGAGTTATGATATCGCTTCGTCTAGATATTGGCCCATGTCGCTGATAGCAAGCTCCCGTAGGTTCGTCATGGATACTCGATCATCTTTAGACAATTGTTCATCTTCTTCATTATCAGGAATGTTTTCGTCACTTTCCAATTCTACGGCGTCACTCCATAGAGGGGGTTGGCAGCTTCTTGAGCTTGCCTTCCCCTTAATCAGTGCACCAGCAGAAACAAGATGAAGCGAGGGCGCGACGCATGACATGTCAGTAAGTCCATGAAGCACGGCTTCTTTCACAATATTTGAGCCACTATTTCGGAGAAAGAGCGTGCAATAATCCTTTGAAAGAGACCAATCTTCCATCATTGCAATAGTGCTGCAGCAATCGACTTTCCATCATGTATGCCGGGAAGCTCCCACACCTCCAGTGTCCAGGTTTTTCGAGCAGAAATTATCATCAACGTAATGGATTGTGAGCGAAATGTAGCCACGCGCATTACGAGCAGTCCACATATCACTCGTAAGTGAAAAGTAAGTGCAGCCCGTAGCTATATCATCTTGAATCCGTGTACGGAGATCAGCTGCAAGAATTACTATTTCGTGGCGGATGTGTGTGCGCTTGGGAAAATCCAATCTGACACGACCGAGATCGTGAGTTATGTAGTAAGCAAAAGCGATGAATCCTTCGTCCTCGACGATAACAAATAGTCGGAAATGACATGCAATCCACTTGGCAAGAAGTCTGTGCACATGCTTTTGCTGATCTTTTGTAATCGGACGAATTAGAATCTTCTTTCCAGATTCAGCACACTGCGCACGAGAACGCTTTTGGTTGTGGCTACCTGCGCTGACATGGTACCTAGTTTTCCCGCGCGCTTTATCTAAAATAAAAGCTACGAGACCTCGAGACTGGTACTGCTCCATGTGCTCCTTAGCATAGCTTCTACCAACTCTAAAGTCCACAATCGACTTACACTTCAAAAAGTAGGCGTTTTTTGCGTCCGCGTTAGTAAGTTTCTCGTCAGAGACGCTGCAATCGTCTTTCGCGAGCAGCCGAATAAACCTTCAATGCTCTATCTTCTTCTGTCTCTTCATGACAAAGAGCCGCAGCCCGTCTCGCGAATGATGTCCCTCTCCAGCTCAGTGAAGTCGACTTGAACAGAAGGTTGAGGTGCCGGTGTCGAGCTCTGAATAGAGGTCAAACGACTCTCAGCGTCATCTCCAGTCGCGTCGAACGAAAGCCGTCGCGGATGCCTGCGCGCAGATCTGGGCAAATGTGGCGGACGCTCGTGTCGACGCCCTGAACGCTGAGGCGTCCGCTGAAGCTGCTGGCTATGCATCAGATAATAAAGTAAAGCTGAGCTGCGATCATTTTCTCGAAATTCTAATCATTGATTTTGTATGCCCGTACAATAAGCGCATTTGGAGTTCAGTGGGGGCAAAGAGGGAGGGAGGAGGGAGTTCGAGCCAAGCTTCAATAGCAGAGTTCCACAGTAGCTCACGAACGTTCCCGCACTGAACGTTGGCACCACTACCGACTACTCGGAAACACTTGAGCATCGGCGCGGGGCACAGCGCTCGACTATCCGATCTACTGCGGCTGCCTGTGGTATGGCACCCACCGCGCTCATTCGCCAGCTTCAACAAGCCCGTCTACGTACCCATACAAGTGTCGTTAAACCCACCTTGACTGAAGCAAACATGACCGAGCGCTTGCAGCTCTCTCTGGCACATATTCGTCGCGGTGCATGTGGACAATTTTCTACGTTACGATGCCTTTCTACTTTTGTCGGACCATCAGCCCCTGTTCGTCGCCTACGCAACAAGCGCGCATGATATTCTTAGCTACCGTGGGCCGGCCCCGCTTTGATGAGGCTACACAACATTATTACGACAGAAAGCTGGGGATATGGACTTTTGTAGAGCAGGCTCCAGCTCAGAGGTCTTCCGGTCGTCGTTCAGCCAGCACAACCGTCACGAAGGAGATTTTGGTCACCAATACTACGTACAGGTCGATGCTCATTGCTAACCTCCTCCCTGTATTGCATGGCAGCCGGCCTGACAATGGCGAGTCTACATTCATTCAGCAGGATAATGCATCTGCTCATATTGCATTGAACCATGTTTAGTTTACCGAAGCTATGAGACAATCTGGACTCCGCGTTAGGCTGCGCAACCAGCTGCCCAACAGCTCTTCAAATTGCAGCGATCTTGGGCTGTTTTCGGCTATTCCAGCGCGCTAGCGCAAGAAAACGCACGGACAGGCGATATGCTCATTCCAGAGGTCACGGAGACATACTGGGAGCTTTCAGTACAGACATCAACTCGATGTGTTTGAGTCTTAAAGGCTTAATGGACGACTGTTTCGCTCAAAGTGGTGACAACAACTACAAGCTGCGTCACATGAAGAAAGATAAGCTTCGTCACGAGGGAAGTCTCCCCGTATCGATCCGCTGCTGCTCAAAAGCAGAGAAGATACTGATTCAGCCATTTGTTTGCAGATTCAACTTAATACGGGAATCAAGAATATTATGTTGCTGTGAGTCGGCAACAGAGGGCAGAATAGAATATTGCTTTCATTTTGGAGCGGAGTGGTACATACCGGAAACTGTTAATAGAAAATACCTCGATACCTAAACATAAAAAAGTAATTTAAAAAAGTAATAAAATAAGAAAAAAATACCTATTGTAATCGTCATTGAGCGTTGGACCAGATTATTTTAACATGTCATTTGAGTTGGCGAAACTATTCGAGCTGGCACCAAAAGAGAATAAGGAGCCTACGTAAATGTTCCTTAGCATTTCGTGCATCTAGTGAGCTATTGCGTCCTTACTAACATGTCCGAGCCAAGCACCTCGCAGCAATAACTCATATTCTGATAAAAACGATTGAAGCTACATTTAGATGGGTTTTAGAGCACTGCCACCGGTTGGGGCAAAGTTTAACAAAAACTAAATTTCCCACTAGAATACAGTTTTTCCCTGGCACTGGTCTGATAAAACAAGGAGTATATTATCTACCCTATGGGCAATAGGCTATTACTAATAGCTGGTGAGTCCTGGAGTCAAATATGCCGACCGGATCCCCAGCGTATGACAATGGTAAAAAGATAGCCAATCATTAGAATCAGTTTGAACGCAATGGTACATGTACAAGCTTGCGATTTTTGACTGCCACACCTACTATATCTGCTCTGTCATTCGTCGCCAACCATAGAGTGAGTGCCTGAAGGCTTATCTTCCTAATCCTTCAATTCATCGATTGTTGTATCTTTTTCCTAGGTACATGTAATCTATAGCTAGGAAAGATATGATTATTGTTGCCGTGTCCATCTCGTTTAACGTAGATGTGACTCGAGCCGGTGCGAAATCTGCCTACTGGAAAAGCAAATTTATGTTTCAAGATTGTCACGCGCCAATCGAGGCTCTATCTGGCCTGTGTGTGGACGGGATCATTAATGGAGAGATCCTGCCTGACAGGGACGCCGGCATTGTACCTCCCTCCAAGATGAATAAATGTTGCTTTGCTTTTTATTATTCTATGTGATAGGATCGAAAAGGCTTTTCGTTTTAGCCTCATAAAAGTCGATCGTAGTCCCTGTACAGTACAAGTTCATGTTGTCAACGAATGCATTTGGAGCACAGCTACTATTAATAGCTCTCCACGAGACAAGAAATGAGACGTGATGTCTGAAAAACTTTTTCAGAAGTCGTCAAAACTAAATGTCAAGAAAAACCAATTACCGGTAGCCCTTATCATTATTTTCTTTTATGCGATAGTACATGCCTGTAGCACTCGGGGTGAGCTCTGTATCAACCACGCTTAAGTGTGCTTGACAGACCAGTGCATTCCCGGCGACTAGCGAAGATAATGTTGGAAAAACTGCAACTGACCGTCAGTCTGATGGCCTGTCAGTATTTGCACATGCACTTCGCGACCATCAATGATGGGCCAACTACAGAAATCATGTTGCTGAGACAAATAATCAGGGTGTGTGGCAATTTACTTCGTTTGCCAGTGGCAAACGAAGTACTGTACATGTACGTTTACAGGACTCGGCTCAGGGCTTATTGGACGGTCTGTAAGCACTGGACCAGAAATCTGTGATGGGTAGATATCATGTCGGGACCTCCATGTCAGCGCCATTATTAGATTTACCCCCCGCTCACACCAAGGTCGCAACACGCAGAATAATGCCCGTCTCGTTCGCAGCGCCCGGCACTGATGGCACCCTGGTCGATGTTGATCTCGAGATTGTCTCTGCGAAGGTGAGCTGTCTTTGGTGTTGCTAATGGTCTTCATTCTCTATAACTATCGCGTAGGGGATCACTGCAGGAGACTACCTCGGTCTGGGGGCCGCTCTCAAAGGTAGTCTCTCCTCGAGCGATGCCTACGTCACGATCGAAATCGACGGCAACCTGGTAGCTTGGACGCGCCCCATCTTCGACTCCCTCGAGCCCGAGTGGAACGAAAAGTTTTTCTTTAAGAACGTCCAGCAGAACTCAACCTTCAAACTGACCTTGTTCGACAAGGATATCGACGCTGACGAGAAGCGCAGCTCAACCCCATCCACACGATTTATGACACGGAGACCACATTCGAGTTGCCAATCATAATGCAAGAAAGCAAGGCCGGCACCATCAATATCACGGTTCGTTTCGCAATTATTCGTTTTGCAACATACACTCTCAGTCAAAACTAACGCAACTTTTTTCATTTTCAGGTCAATCAATGCCACAAGGTTGAGGCTGATGAATTCGCAGAAGTACAGGAAGTCGGGCCTGTCCGCTACTCCGTGCATTCAAGCTTCACGGCTGGACTGTTGACGATGTTGACGTCCAATGATGCCAGACTCGAGTCGTTGGCCTACCGTGTTCAGCTCCACAACATTCCGCAGTTTTTGCCTACTGATAACGAATGGAACAAAAATTATCCGACTATCCAGCGGATTTTTTCGCCGGACTACCCAGAGTCGCCGGTGCTTCGTCAAGCGGTGATGACGCAACACGCCGTGATCTACCAACACGGCCAGGAGCGCACAAAGTACGGCTCCGTCGCGTCTCCTGCGGACTTTTTCGAACTGGTCCACAATGGACGACGCAATGATAAACCCGTGCTCTTCACATACGCTATCACGTCGAAGGGCTGGTACTTTTCCGAGACTGGTGCTGCATTCTTTAAGGACATGTTGTCCAAGCACATGTTACACTCGGGTGCCGCGTTCTCTGTCAAATATGCCGGCGAGTTTCACATCCAACAGGCAGACGATGACACTTTCAAGCTGGTGATTGACAACAATAGTGGCACGTACGCTCCACCTCAAGAGCAGTTGCCGCAGCTCCAGGAGCTCATGGAGAATAACTTCCCGGGCATTATTTGTGAGGCTCTGGACCGCGATGATGAGACGTTGATGGAAGCGCGTAAAGAGATTTTTGCGGCATGGGAATAAAGAGATGATTTTAGAATACAGCCGACACACATACGTAACATTTTTTCAGTTGCCTCGATTCTTCAAAGTAAAAATACTCGTGTCCACAATCGAGTGACGAACTTTATTTGAGTCACTGGGCGTACCCAAAATGATCAGCTGAGGTTGTCAGAGACAATTTGTTACGCAAGTTGAAGCAAAATTGGCATGTCGCGGTATTACTTCACGTGGGTACAAAGTTACAGAAAACGTAGGTAAACATTTGTTTGTGTTGCACATACCGTCATCCCACAGATCAGAATTCTCTGCCATGGGCCAAGCACCTTCCGGCGCCAAGAGCGGGCGGCCCGCCTTGACGCATTCGACGCCCACCTTGTTCCCATTGCCGTCCGATGAATCCGATCTCCCCGACAACGCCGTCCTCGATGTAGAGCTCGAGATCGTGTCCGCAAAAGTGCGAAAACAAAGCAATTCCTACATATTTCGTCGTTTTCCACTAATATTATTATCTGCCAGGACATCATTGCAGGCGACTATTTAGGCGTCACGGCTCTTCTGAAGGGCCAATTGAGCTCTAGCGACGCGTACGCAGTGATCGAAGTGGACGGCCACAAAGTGGCCTGGACACATCCAGTCTTTTCCACTCTGGAACCTGTTTGGAACGAGAAATTCTTCTTTAAGAACGTCCGGCCCGACTCCTTGTGCAAGCTCTACTTGTTTGACAAGGACGTGAATACCGATGACGAGCTGGGAGAGACGCAGTTTACAGCGGCCAACACGGACGGCACCGTGTCAACGTTCGAGCTGGCCATTTATCTCCATGGCCGAAGTGCCGGCACAATTGTCGTCAAGGTCAAGTCATTCCCGGTCGAGCCCATGCGTCGTGTCGTGTGCCACGAGTACGGCCCTGTGCGTTATTCGGTACACTCGAGTGTGACTGCTGGACTGATGACCATGTCCACGTCGAACGAGGCCAGGATCGAGTCCCTGGCGTATCATATTCAGTTGCATAATATCCACCAATTTTTGCCAACGGAGCACGAGTGGAACAAGGATTATCCGACAATTCAACGGATTTTCTCTCCCGATTATCCAGGGTCACCAGTGTTGCGTCAGGCCATCATGACGCAACACGCCGTGATCTACACCCATGGGCCGATGAACACCAAGTACGGCGCCATCTCGTCGCCGCGGGAGTTCTTCAAGCTGATTCATGATGGCCGGCGACAGGATAAAGCAGTGCTGTTCACCTACGTCATCACCAAGAACGGCTGGTATTTCTCCGAGACTGGTGCTGCGTTTTTCAAGGATATGTTGTCCAAGCACATGTTGCACTCGGGTGCTGCGTTCTCGGTCTTGTAAGTGCATTTGCATTTTTTTTGATATTATTTTTGGGAGGATTTTTTTAAATTTTATGAATACAGGTATGCTGGCGAGTTTCGAGTGGATAACTACTTGTTTGGAGAACCAAAGCTCGTTATTGACAACGATAGTGGCACGTATGCACCACCGAAAGAGGATCTGCCACAACTTAAGGCACTTATGGAGGATAACTTCCCTGGAATGACAGTCGAGGCGTTGAATCGCGAAAACGAAGAGCAGCAGAAGACACGCAAGGAGATTTTGGGCTCGTGGATGTGAGAGTCGATCACTGATAAAGCGCTCCACCCGGATTAGTCGTGTTATCAAAGCTCGACAACTTCAGTTATACTACGAGTACAGCATATTAGTAATCTACTACTACTTATAGTTAGTAGTACTAATACAAGTTTGATTTTTATTGCAAGTACTATTATGCTGTTGCAGTTACCAAAAAAAATGGCAACATGCGTGCATGTGTAGCTTTTTACGCAGCCCACGCGTCTACGATCTCCTTGCGCTTCTCTTTAAGTTCGGGACTGCTGCGGTCCAGAGCTTCAACCGCAATACCTGGGAAGTTGGTCTCCAGCAGCGCCTTGAGCTGCGGTAGCTCTTCCTTGGGCGGTGCGTACGTGCCGCTGTTGTTGTCGATGAACAACTTAAACTCGCCCGATTCCTCCTTCTCGATATGGAACTCTCCCGCGTATTTGACGTTGAATTGCGCACTGGAATGCAACATGTGCTTGGACAGAATGTCCTTGAAGAATGCCGCCCCGGTCTCGGAGAAGTACCAGCCCGTCTCGATGATGGCGTATGTGAAGAGCACGGGTTTGTCGAGTCGCTTGCCGTCGTGCAACAAGTTAAAGAAATCGGCCGGGCCATTGAACTCGCCGTAGACCGTGTCTGCGTCGTGTTTGTAGACAATACCGTGCTCCGTCTTAATGGCCCTACGCAACACGGGAGCCTCCGGGTGGTCGGGCGAGAATATTTTCACTACAGACTGATGGTTGTGGTTCCAATCGTTGTCTTGGGCCAGGAATGCTGGAATGTCGTGCAGCTGCACATGGTAGGCAAACGACTCGCGCTTGTCCTCGTCCGTCGTGGTGTCTGTGATGAAGCCGTTGATGTAGCTTGAGTGCACAGAGTAGTGGACCGGGCCGACCTGTTGCAGCTGGCCGGTGCCGATGACCGGTGTCGGGCGCGACTTGACCTTGACCACAATGGTGCCGGCCGGCTTGTCCTCACGCGTGATAGGGAGCTCGAAGGTCGTTTCGACGCCGGCCGTGTTGGCCGCTGTAAACTGCGTCTGGCCGAGCGCGTCATCGTCCTCGAAGTCCTTATCCAGTAGATAGAGCTTGCAGATTGTGTCGGGTTTGACGTTTTTGAAGTAGAGCTTCTCGTTCCAGACGGGCTCTAGGGTGGAGAAGATCGGCCGCGTCCAGGCCACCTTCTGGCCGGCCACCTCGATCAAAGCGTACGCATCGCTGGAGGCCACGTGGCCTTTGGCTGCAGCCCTTGCGCTGAAAAAGTCACCGGCTGCGATGTCTTTGGCCGACACGATCTCGAGTTCGACTTCGAGCACCGAGTTCTCAGGCACAGGCTCAGAGGCCGTGGCCGGTGCAGTGGAAGCGGTGGAGGAGGTGGACGATGCTTGGCCCATTGGTGAAGGTGATGGGATGCCAAGTTGGCAAATTGAGAAATGATTGGGATCGTCAACATGATTTTTTGATTGATGAAAAGCAACGGTTGCTGCAACCCCCACAAATTTATGTTGTACAGTATCCGATAAACAATGATACTGTACAGCTCAAATACATGTATCTTATTTTGCTGAGCCGGGCTGTAAAACAATACTGTATGTACGTGCCGCATTCACTGCTCCATTACAGTAGTAAATCTAGCACGAAACACGAGCTCATCGCTGTGTAAACGATACCTCAAGCACATTTTACTTCATGTAAATGATCTGTACTGTGTAGTGACTCCTATGCTTGGTCCATGTGTTCATTTACATAACAAAATTTCTTAAATACCACACTGTACATGGCAAGCTCGTCAGAGCGTTGTAGCAACAATAATATGGATATGAAATACAGGCACACTGTCATTGAAATCTTTCTGGAGGCCCCAGCAATATATTACTTAAAGTAACTCGTAGCCTGGTGCTCACAAAGGGCAAACTTTGTTGCTGGCAAAAGATTGCTCTCCCCATTCACTTGTCTTCAATGTCCAGCCGTAATCGGGACTGCTTGGATACTTTCATGTCGCAGATGAATCAGAGGCATGGGTACAAGTACGTGGCAGTTGCGATCTTCTAACGGCCCAAAAGTTCCCGATCCAAGATCTCATTTTCCAACTTTCCTTCTTCCCCACACTCTACTCTCTGCAAATATGGGCAACTCTTCCTCTTCCTCGGCCGTGCCCGAGAACTCGGTCCTCGACGTGGAGCTCGAGATCGTGTTGGCCAAGGACATTGCGGCCGGCGACTTCTTCGACATGAAGGCCGCTCTCAAGGGCAAAGTCTCGTCCAGCGACGCCTACGCTTTGATCGAAGTGGCCGGCCAGAAGGTGGCCTGGACGCGGCCCATCTTCGACACGCTCGAGCCTGTGTGGAACGAAAAGTTCTTCTTCAAGAATGTCAAACCCGACACAATCTGCAAGCTCTACCTCTTCGACGAGGACTTTAACGGGGACGACGCGTTGGGCCAAACGCAATTCACGGCGGCCAACACTGACGGCGCTGAAACTACCTTCGAGTTGCCTATTAAACGCAACGACAAGGCGGCCGGCACGATTGTGGTCAAGGTCAAGTCGCGGGCCACCAAAGCCCACGGTGATGGCCAACTGCATCAGTACGGGCCAGTGCACTACTCGGCCCACCTGAGTGTAAGCTCGGGCATCTTATCGCAGTCCTTAACGGAAGACGAGAAGTTAGAGTGCTCGGCCTACCACGTGCACCTGCACAATATCCCACAGATTCTACGTAATGACCACGAGTGGAACAAAAACTACCCAACCATCCAAAAGATCTTCTCGCCTGACCATCCGGAGTCTCCTGTGCTCCGTAAGGCCATCGCCACGGAGCACGAGGTAGTTTACAGACACGCGGGGACTACCGAGTATGGCCAGCTTAAAGAGCCGTCAGACTTGTTTAAACTAGTCAACTACGGCCGGAGACAGGACAAGCCGGTGCTCTTCACGTACGCTATCACGTCCACGGGCTGGTACTTCTCCGAGACTGGCGCGGCCTTCTTCAAGGACATGTTGTCCAAGCACATGTTGCACTCGGGTGCCGCGTTCTCTGTCAAATATGCCGGCGAGTTTCACATCCAACAGGCAGACGATGACACTTTCAAGCTGGTGATTGACAACAATAGTGGCACGTACGCTCCACCTCAAGAGCAGTTGCCGCAGCTCCAGGAGCTCATGGAGAATAACTTCCCGGGCATTATTTGTGAGGCTCTGGACCGCGATGATGAGACGTTGATGGAAGCGCGTAAAGAGATTTTTGCGGCATGGGAATAAAGAGATGATTTTAGAATACAGCCGACACACATACGTAACATTTTTTCAGTTGCCTCGATTCTTCAAAGTAAAAATACTCGTGTCCACAATCGAGTGACGAACTTTATTTGAGTCACTGGGCGTACCCAAAATGATCAGCTGAGGTTGTCAGAGACAATTTGTTACGCAAGTTGAAGCAAAATTGGCATGTCGCGGTATTACTTCACGTGGGTACAAAGTTACAGAAAACGTAGGTAAACATTTGTTTGTGTTGCACATACCGTCATCCCACAGATCAGAATTCTCTGCCATGGGCCAAGCACCTTCCGGCGCCAAGAGCGGGCGGCCCGCCTTGACGCATTCGACGCCCACCTTGTTCCCATTGCCGTCCGATGAATCCGATCTCCCCGACAACGCCGTCCTCGATGTAGAGCTCGAGATCGTGTCCGCAAAAGTGCGAAAACAAAGCAATTCCTACATATTTCGTCGTTTTCCACTAATATTATTATCTGCCAGGACATCATTGCAGGCGACTATTTAGGCGTCACGGCTCTTCTGAAGGGCCAATTGAGCTCTAGCGACGCGTACGCAGTGATCGAAGTGGACGGCCACAAAGTGGCCTGGACACATCCAGTCTTTTCCACTCTGGAACCTGTTTGGAACGAGAAATTCTTCTTTAAGAACGTCCGGCCCGACTCCTTGTGCAAGCTCTACTTGTTTGACAAGGACGTGAATACCGATGACGAGCTGGGAGAGACGCAGTTCACAGCGGCCAACACGGACGGCACCGTGTCAACGTTCGAGCTGGCCATTTATCTCCATGGCCGAAGTGCCGGCACAATTGTCGTCAAGGTCAAGTCATTCCCGGTCGAGCCCATGCGTCGTGTCGTGTGCCACGAGTACGGCCCTGTGCGTTATTCGGTACACTCGAGTGTGACTGCTGGACTGATGACCATGTCCACGTCGAACGAGGCCAGGATCGAGTCCCTGGCGTATCATATTCAGTTGCATAATATCCACCAATTTTTGCCAACGGAGCACGAGTGGAACAAGGATTATCCGACAATTCAACGGATTTTCTCTCCCGATTATCCAGGGTCACCAGTGTTGCGTCAGGCCATCATGACGCAACACGCCGTGATCTACACCCATGGGCCGATGAACACCAAGTACGGCGCCATCTCGTCGCCGCGGGAGTTCTTCAAGCTGATTCATGATGGCCGGCGACAGGATAAAGCAGTGCTGTTCACCTACGTCATCACCAAGAACGGCTGGTATTTCTCCGAGACTGGTGCTGCGTTTTTCAAGGATATGTTGTCCAAGCACATGTTGCACTCGGGTGCTGCGTTCTCGGTCTTGTAAGTGCATTTGCATTTTTTTTGATATTATTTTTGGGAGGATTTTTTTAAATTTTATGAATACAGGTATGCTGGCGAGTCTCGAGTGGATAACTACTTGTTTGGAGAACCAAAGCTCGTTATTGACAACGATAGTGGCACGTATGCACCACCGAAAGAGGATCTGCCACAACTTAAGGCACTTATGGAGGATAACTTCCCTGGAATGACAGTCGAGGCGTTGAATCGCGAAAACGAAGAGCAGCAGAAGACACGCAAGGAGATTTTGGGCTCGTGGATGTGAGAGTCGATCACTGATAAAGCGCTCCACCCGGATTAGTCGTGTTATCAAAGCTCGACAACTTCAGTTATACTACGAGTACAGCATATTAGTAATCTACTACTACTTATAGTTAGTAGTACTAATACAAGTTTGATTTTTATTGCAAGTACTATTATGCTGTTGCAGTTACCAAAAAAAATGGCAACATGCGTGCATGTGTAGCTTTTTACGCAGCCCACGCGTCTACGATCTCCTTGCGCTTCTCTTTAAGTTCGGGACTGCTGCGGTCCAGAGCTTCAACCGCAATACCTGGGAAGTTGGTCTCCAGCAGGGCCTTGATCTGCGGTAGCTCTTCCTTGGGCGGTGCGTACGTGCCGCTGTTGTTGTCGATGAACAACTTAAACTCGCCCGATTCCTCCTTCTCGATATGGAACTCTCCCGCGTATTTGACGTTGAATTGCGCACTGGAATGCAACATGTGCTTGGACAGAATGTCCTTGAAGAATGCCGCCCCGGTCTCGGAGAAGTACCAGCCCGTCTCGATGATGGCGTATGTGAAGAGCACGGGTTTGTCGAGTCGCTTGCCGTCGTGCAACAAGTTAAAGAAATCGGCCGGGCCATTGAACTCGCCGTAGACCGTGTCTGCGTCGTGTTTGTAGACAATACCGTGCTCCGTCTTAATGGCCCTACGCAACACGGGAGCCTCCGGGTGGTCGGGCGAGAATATTTTCACTACAGACTGATGGTTGTGGTTCCAATCGTTGTCTTGGGCCAGGAATGCTGGAATGTCGTGCAGCTGCACATGGTAGGCAAACGACTCGCGCTTGTCCTCGTCCGTCGTGGTGTCTGTGATGAAGCCGTTGATGTAGCTTGAGTGCACAGAGTAGTGGACCGGGCCGACCTGTTGCAGCTGGCCGGTGCCGATGACCGGTGTCGGGCGCGACTTGACCTTGACCACAATGGTGCCGGCCGGCTTGTCCTCACGCGTGATAGGGAGCTCGAAGGTCGTTTCGACGCCGGCCGTGTTGGCCGCTGTAAACTGCGTCTGGCCGAGCGCGTCATCGTCCTCGAAGTCCTTATCCAGTAGATAGAGCTTGCAGATTGTGTCGGGTTTGACGTTTTTGAAGTAGAACTTCTCGTTCCAGACGGGCTCTAGGGTGGAGAAGATCGGCCGCGTCCAGGCCACCTTCTGGCCGGCCACCTCGATCAAAGCGTACGCATCGCTGGAGGCCACGTGGCCTTTGGCTGCAGCCCTTGCGCTGAAAAAGTCACCGGCTGCGATGTCTTTGGCCGACACGATCTCGAGTTCGACTTCGAGCACCGAGTTCTCAGGCACAGGCTCAGAGGCCGTGGCCGGTGCAGTGGAAGCGGTGGAGGAGGTGGACGATGCTTGGCCCATTGGTGAAGGTGATGGGATGCCAGTTGGCAAATTGAGAAATGATTGGGATCGTCAACATGATTTTTTGATTGATGAAAAGCAACGGTTGCTGCAACCCCCACAAATTTATGTTGTACAGTATCCGATAAACAATGATACTGTACAGCTCAAATACATGTATCTTATTTTGCTGAGCCGGGCTGTAAAACAATACTGTATGTACGTGCCGCATTCACTGCTCCATTACAGTAGTAAATCTAGCACGAAACACGAGCTCATCGCTGTGTAAACGATACCTCAAGCACATTTTACTTCATGTAAATGATCTGTACTGTGTAGTGACTCCTATGCTTGGTCCATGTGTTCATTTACATAACAAAATTTCTTAAATACCACACTGTACATGGCAAGCTCGTCAGAGCGTTGTAGCAACAATAATATGGATATGAAATACAGGCCCACTGTCATTGAAATCTTTCTGAGGGCCCCAGCAATATATTACTTAAAGTAACTCGTAGCCTGGAGCTCACAAAGGGCAAACTTTGTTGCTGGCAAAAGATTGCTCTCCCCATTCACTTGTCTTCAATGTCCAGCCGTAATCGGGACTGCTTGGATACTTTCATGTCGCAGATGAATCAGAGGCATACGTGGCAGTTGCGATCTTCTGACGGCCCAAAAGTTCCCGATCCAAGATCTCATTTTCCAACTTTCCTTCTTCCCCACACTCTACTCTCTGCAAATATGGGCAACTCTTCCTCTTCCTCGGCCGTGCCCGAGAACTCGGTCCTCGACGTGGAGCTCGAGATCGTGTTGGCCAAGGACATTGCGGCCGGCGACTTCTTCGACATGAAGGCCGCTCTCAAGGGCAAAGTCTCGTCCAGCGACGCCTACGCTTTGATCGAAGTGGCCGGCCAGAAGGTGGCCTGGACGCGGCCCATCTTCGACACGCTCGAGCCTGTGTGGAACGAAAAGTTCTTCTTCAAGAACGTCAAACCCGACACAATCTGCAAGCTCTACCTCTTCGACGAGGACTTTAACGGGGACGACGCGTTGGGCCAAACGCAATTCACGGCGGCCAACACTGACGGCGCTGAAACTACCTTCGAGTTGCCTATTAAACGCAACGACAAGGCGGCCGGCACGATTGTGGTCAAGGTCAAGTCGCGGGCCACCAAGGCCCACGGTGATGGCCAACTGCATCAGTACGGGCCAGTGCACTACTCGGCCCACCTGAGTGTAAGCTCGGGCATCTTATCGCAGTCCTTAACGGAAGACGAGAAGTTAGAGTCCTCGGCCTACCACGTGCACCTGCACAATATCCCACAGATTCTACGTAATGACCACGAGTGGAACAAAAGCTACCCAACCATCCAAAAGATCTTCTCGCCTGACCATCCGGAGTCTCCTGTGCTCCGTAAGGCCATCGCCACGGAGCACGAGGTAGTTTACAGACACGCGGGGACTACCGAGTATGGCCAGCTTAAAGAGCCGTCAGACTTGTTTAAACTAGTCAACTACGGCCGGAGACAGGACAAGCCGGTGCTCTTCACGTACGCTATCACGTCCACGGGCTGGTACTTCTCCGAGACTGGCGCGGCCTTCTTCAAGGACATGTTGTCCAAGCACATGTTGCACTCGGGTGCTGCGTTCTCCGTTAAGTACGCGGGCGAATTCCGCATCGAGAAGGGCCACTTTGGGAAATACAAGCTCCTCATCGACAACAACAGCGGCACATACGCCCCACCCGAGGCCGATCTACCGAAACTCAAGGAGATCTTTGAGGCCAACTTCCATGGTATCTCAGTCGAGGCCAAAGATCGCGACGACGAGGAGCTGAAAAAGTCCCGCCAAGACATCCTGGACGCCTGGGCGTAAAGCGTTTGACTATTTCTGTCACAAACACACAATTTGTTTTGTGTGTTGCTACAATTTCTAGCGTAAAATTTGCAACATCCCGTAACCTACAAAAATAAAAATGTCGAATTTTGTTAATGTAATATTTCGTTTTTGGAATATCGTTAAATCTAAATTTGGTTCAACCACTTCCGTTTTTGCCGTGGCCAAAAGTTCAATAAATGGGGATGCATGCGCGTATTCAGAGGTCTGTTAATCGCTTCATTCACAAGTGGGAGTCCGTCCAAGTCGAACTTCATGGTCACTACTCTATTGAGCGCTTTGCGGCGATGAACGAGTACTGTCGATCTGCGAGCTGTCCACGTGCGCTGATGGTGCTGCTCATCACGCCACTACCAAGTCTAATTCTGGTTACAATGATCGACGCAATGCCGCTTGAATCGCCGGAACGAGGACTGGAACATAGTGCTATTGTATGGGTTCGAGGAATACTGACGTGTTTCATCTACACCCACTGCGCTATCGAGCAGATTCGTCTGTACAGTCCGAATCTGAGACTGGAGCCATTGGCCGGACTGTGTATCTCGCTTCCTACTGCAATTTTCACGATTGTACTTACCTTGGGGCTATCGTTTCTTTGCTGGCCACTACCATTCACCACCCTTTTAATGTCAGGTCCGTGGCTTGGCTTTATGACTTTCTTTTTATTTCGAGTCCGTGGAGCGCACCTGCGTGCGAACCCCGAAGCCATACGCGATGTATTACGCTTCGCAACAATCTGTGGGACTCAAGCGGCGGTAGTTCTGGTTTACGCTGTATTTGTTACGATTTTTACCAATATTTCGCCGACGTACCAGCCGCTGTTCGCCTTGCTGATACCAGCTTCCAAAATTATCCAGAAAAACGTACTTAGCCGAATTCTCGCCGGTCGTGACGATACCAAGCCGCAAGTTGTGATTCTCAACGTCGAGATCTTCAATGCGCTCTTCATTTCGACCTGTATGAGGGATTCACAGTCCTTCAACACCAGCATCACTCTTATTGCTATAGATTTCTTACAAGCCGCAGTGTCCCTTCTCGACTTGTACCGCATGCTCAGTGATGTCAAAATTATCCGGGATAAGCTTGGAATCCGTAGCAACGAGTTAATCTCGACTGCTGAGCTAGTATTGGCGAAGTATCCTGGTACAGCAAACTGTCCGACCACAACAACCGCCTCAAGTCCTCAATTTGCCAGAGTCTTTCTGAAAAAGAAACAAGTGCTGCCAACTATGAACATGCAAGTGGGGGGATACGAAATTCCTGTCCCAGTATCGTCTCTGAGATACGCATCACGAGCATCATCCACCTATACGGATAAAAAATCTTCAGTTACCCCGACAACTAGTCTGGTTAAATTATCGAGTCAAGAACATTACCAGCTCCTGAAAAAGACACTGCAAGTGCTCTTCCTTACCGAATTTATGCTACTAATCGAGTTTACCGAAGTATTGGTTCCTGTCATTTATGGTAAGATTGATATTTTAAGGTATTCTCTTCATGTACTAATATTTTTTTTCAGGCGGCTACTTGACAATTCTGTATCACTTCCCCAACCGAAGATTTTACCCCCAGTTAGCGGAAATTTCCGATCAAGAACTCTGGGATATGGTCATCAGCGTGTTGCAATATGGAACTCTCGAGCTGGTATCGCTGACACTTCTCGTTCTTGTACTAAACCGTCTCGTCCATCCGCATTCGTTAAAACAGCTGGCCTTTGTGTTGGAGCGTGAATTCTTTATGGTACAACCAAAACTCCTCCTTTGGGTTACTATGACTATGCAGTCCACCCTCCCACACCTCGGTAAGAAACAATCTCAATTTTTATTGAAATATAACCCAAAATTTACGGTTAATTGTATACAGGGGTCGATTACAGCTTCAAGTTTGCTTGGCTTAAACACAGTAGTAGTGACACCAATACACAATAAACTAAGCAAGTACATGGATTAGAAGACAAGGACTAACAAGAATTCTACTTACGGCTTGACACAGTCAGAATCGCTCGACGTACAGACCTTACAGATCTGAGAGCGAAACGACCGCTTGCACCCGTACGTCGCTGTAGCGCAGACGTTGCTGTTCTCATGGCATGGAGGATTGATGGCTTTGAGCGAAGATGCCGTAGGTAAAGGCTTCATCACTCCTCCGTCACTTGTCACTGGGTTCGTGGCTACGAGGTCACTGTACGCTGCTACCAGGTGCTCTGCACGTTGAGCATTGGCGTCACTGTCTCCAGGGTTAGCCCAGAAATCAAGTCCGTCCAGCCACGTGACTTCATTACCGGATACCGTAACGCTGAATTCCACACCACCGGCTTCACAGAACTCGGCGTAGTTGGCATAGTAGCTGTTTGTTTGGGGGTTTATTAACTTGGTGATGCCCACAACATCATCCAGTGGGATGTAGCCCAGTACTTCGTACGTAAACGTACACGTCTCACCGTCAGGCTGCACTCCAAGAGGACACATTCCACCCGATTTCTGACCACGACAAGTGTCCGACTTGCCAGCCCAGCGAGTTTGTGGACAGCTATTAGGAAAAGAGAACCAGTAGTTGTTCGGATACGGCGCGATAACGTCGTGGTCTTGCAACGAGCCACCTACACAGAAGCCCAATTTAGGATGTCCATTCTCTCCAGTGTACTGGTTACAGACATCCGGGAACGAACCATCAGCGTTCGGGTTACATTGACCGCCGTCCATAGGCATGAATGGACAACGTTCGACAGCGAAACGGTGTTCATCTGTGACTGTAGCGTAGTGCTTCATCGCAGCAGTAGGTTGCACGACGGTCGTCTGGTAGAATACTACGTACTGGATGTTGCTCCTGCGCCTACAGTTGGTTATGACTGAAGCGTTGATGCATTCGGCTTGGACGTACTTGAGAGCACCTTCGACTGCTGCCATGTTGACAGTGTCCAGTACAGCACGGTACTTTTCGTCGAATGTGGTGTAGTATTTCGACACGAATCGTTGATTGTCGGCATTCCATTGGGGCATATCACCCTGGACACGGGCGTGCAGTGACGTTACTTTTTTAAATTGTTTCGGGGCCGGTGCAGAGGTTGGCGCAGAGGTTGGTGCTGCGGTCGGAGCAGCGGTTGGTGGCGACGTTGTTGGGAAGAGTAGATTGGTCACGGGCGTAATGACTCCACCGAGGACCTGGCCGAGGAGGAGTTGGCGACTGTGACTCGAGGAGCTCACCTCGATATCTTGGACGTCTGTAGCTACTTGCTGCTGTTGAGACGACTTGGCAGTGACAGTTAGTCCTGTTGCCACCAGTGCCACGACTAAGCTTAATACTGACAAAGTCTTCATTCGGTTTTAATGAATACGTTTGAAGCGTGTTGCTGTTTTGACGGGTGCTTGGTCAAGAAGATGCAAAAGTGGAAATGAAGACTTTGCTGGAAGATTTCGTCCGAACCGTACGACAACCAGCACCGAGAATGGTTATCATTATATCCGGATAGGTTCCCTAGTGGCGATAGAGCGCACATAATTGAAAATGACAAGCGACAATACATTAAAGGTATCACGTCGTCGACACTTTTGGTTTCAGATGAGTGTAGATTACTGCCTCCCCAGCGAGCGTTTGTAATGAAACATGCTCGGTTTCAGATATATTAACTGAAACGAGAGTTTTCTGGCTGGCCATCATTCCTCACCGATACCTTCCAAATTACTTGTGAAAGTTTATACAACCGAATTTGAGCACCACCACTGCCATTTTCTTAAGTGCGCTTAAATGAAACGAAAAATATAGCGATACTTTTATCGCGAGGCCCCAAGAACGAGTTCTTCTACCGACATTTTAGTATTTTTATTTCCTAAAAATGAGCGATTCCTTACGATCCCTATTTTTTATTAAGAATAAGGAAAATTCAACTTCATTAGCTGATATAGTATTCGGAAGAGAATATTACGTTTTTCAGATATCGCGCACCACGATATCATACAGATTCTACGAAACATAGCTTATTTTCCGTCTCCACGAAGCGAGCACGAGAAGAAGCCCTCGTTAAATTAGTCAGTGGGCAGATGAACTGCTTCATTGCCTGTTAGAAATGGAACCCCAATTAACAGAAAGGTAGAAAAAATCATGGTCGTAGCTGCTTGGTCTTGGACATGTAGGCAAAATAAATTCTGAAAGCTGCAAACTTAATTAACGGTAGAACGAATCTCTCAATGCAACGCAGTTAACGAACGCCTTCCGAAAGTGGCACAGAAACCAGCAGTATCACCGTAATCCTACAGTTTTGGTAAGCATTCGCTCTTCACCATAAATGTTTTGGTAAACCTATCCAGGTAGCAAGCGTCGAAGCCTTTATTTAAAAAAATATTTCTGAACAAGACTGCATATTCGTTTTGGGCTTGCTACTTAAAGTGTTTTGAAAATATAAATGAATAAAAAAAGGGTTCAATCAGCTTTTAAATTGATATTAAGCAATTCTTTAGACGTCTACAAAGTATTAAAAAAGCAAAGTCGACCACCGAAAAACCAAAAATTCAGAGTTAGTCGCTCTGGTACGATTTCACGCAGCCCGAATCGTTCGACGTGCAAACTTCACAAATCTGCGAACTGTACGATCGCTTGCATCCGAACTCTGCGCTAGCACATATTTTACTGTTCTTGTAGCATGGTGGATTGCTGGTCGTAAGCGAAGCTACCGTTGGCAACGCCTTCATCACTCCACCATCACTTGTCAAAGCACCCGTCTTTACTAGCTCCCCGTATGCGGCAACAAGCTTCTCGGCTCGTTCAGCATTAGCAGCACTGTCACCCGGGTTGGCCCAGAATTCAAGACCATCGAGCCAGGCGACTTCATCGCCAGACACTGTAACGCTAAACTCAACACCGCCAGCCTCACAGAACTCCGTGTAATTGGCGTAGTTGCTGTTCGTTTGAGGGTTCACCAATGAAGTAATACCTACTACATCGTCCAATGGAATATAGCCCAGCACCTCGTAGGAAAACGTACAGGTCTCGCCATCTGGATCCACTCCCAGAGGACACAAGCCACCAGCGTATTCGGCACGACAAGCGTCTGTCTTATCACTCCAGCGACTTTGTGGACAGCTATTGGGGAAGGAGAACCAGTAGTTATGCGGATAAGGCGCAATAACCTCATTGTCTTGTAGTGTTCCACCAACACAGAAGCCTAAATCGGGTTGGCCGTTGACTCCAATGTACTGGTTACACACGTCTGGGAACGTGCCGTCCGGATTCGGATTACACCGACCGCCGTCCAATGGCAAGAACGGACAGTGTTCGATAGCAAAGTCGTATTCGTCCGTGGCGTTGGCATAGAAATCCATCGCAGCAGTGGGTTGGACAACTGTCGTCTGGTAGAAAACGACGTACTGGACGCCGTTTTTGCGCTCGCAGTCCGTCACGACTGAAGCGTTGATACATTCGGCCTGTACATACTTGAGAGCACCTTCAATGGCTGCCATGTTGACAGTGTCAAGGAGAGCGCGGTATTTCTCATCGAATGTGTCGTAGTATTCCGACACAAGGCGTTGATTGGCGGTATCCCATTGGGGCATGTCACCCTGGACACGAGCCTGCAACGATGTCACCTTTTGGAAAGATCTCGAGATCGGTCCAGCGTAATTCGTCGTTTCGGTCCCACTGTGGGTATCGGAGGAGTCAGTATCTTCAGTAGTCCTGCAACTCGTGGCAGCGGCAGAGAGATGAGCGGTTGCGAGTGCTGATGCACCCATGATAAAGATCAGAGCCGATGTCTTCATTGGATCTTTCGGTGTACACGTAGTGTTGTGTTGGACAGCAGCTCTACTTTGGAGAGAAGATGGAAAAGTGGAAATGAAGACGTGGAAGATTCGTTCCAGGGCGTACGACAAGAAGCTACATGGGATGCTTCTCACTGAAGTGGGAAAGCGCCAGCGACGAGGACTGTGGTCGTTTCAGTTAGAGAGAGCGTTTGCAATGCAACGTGACTAGAGCTCCAGATGTACCACAACAAGAAAACGTGTTTTTTCTTTTTCTTTAAGGTTATTCTCCCGCCTGTCAGTTATGTACGCTCCACACTTCCCACGTCAAGGCGTGAGTTCTTCCATCATCAGCCACTTTCAGGTTGTGAACGTTCTTTTCTTCTTCTAGCGATCATTTTGTGGTCGATACTGAGCGAAAGTTCCGGTATCATACGAAACGGTCAGTGGCGTATGCATGGCTTGTCCATTAATTTTTTATTTATTTTAGTTTAAAAGGCGCGTTTGCTAAAACAAATAGTAATTTTTTTGTGAACGGACTCTAGTGTGTCACTGACGCATTGGTAGATAAGAATACGAACAGCAGCGTTGTATCTGAATTGGGAAGGTCTGTGTGAAATCTGCGTCTTAACCAGCCCGTACAGGCCCCAATACTACATAGTATTCGAACAGGATAGCTGTTATTACGTTGCCAACCAGTAGCACAAAGTACTGCACTCTAAACGTCAGTGGCATGGGAATATCCGGCAGCACCATCACATTCGTACCACTCGAGATACGGAAGAGATCGGTTAGCTGTCCTGATGGACCAAGAAGTAAGTAAATATCCAGAGCTACGAGGACACCGAATACTAACACAAGCGGATAATTTTTTCAGATCGACGCTCGATATCGAGATCCGAAGCTGAAGACCCAAGCTGCCAGTTGTTGTTGTGTGACGATCGTGAAAAATAGCGTCGTGGCTAGATGATTGTCGGAAAGAAGCCACCACTTGGCCAGAACGATATTATCGGGACTGAACGGACAATACCAATGTTGAGAAGTGAGCATACCGTATATATTCCGGGCACTAAGAAACAAACGTTATAAATTCTTGTCCCAGTATGGAGAGCAGTGTCAATGGTCCGAGTAGACTCGACGTCGGACGTTGGCTCAGAGAGTGTGATGGCGTAGGATAATCCAACGAGGATAAATCCATCGGCTAAGATGAAACACCACTCGGATAAAATAGTCGCATTGTACCCTTGGAATAACCTTAATGTGGACGCAATAACTCCATACAAAACGAGAAATTTAACCGAAGCAAACGATGTGGCCAAGCTGCAACGTCCTTCCCGACAAATATCCACGACCGAGTGGATTGTTTTAGGTTTACTGAGATCACCGAGACGTCGGCATCACTAAGCGCGATTCCCACATGAGCGATACGCAACGCGCCACAGTCATTCCCTCCATCGCCATACATTCCCGTGACAGCGCCTGCCTCCATGTGCATCTTCACACACTCCACTTTATCATCCGGAGTCATGCGACTAACATTCCGGATGTGGAAAAGAATCTGGCTCAGTTCTCCAACGACTTTAAGTTGATTAAAAGCTGCTCCAGTGACTGCAGCTCCACGTCTTTTCCGTTTGTAGCCATGTTCTTAACCGTGGGATAATCAATAACCTCTCCAGTATCCACGTCTCGCCATTCCACTTGACACAGCTTCGTATTCCCACTACTAGTTCGTTTAATGTCCGTCTCGAATTTGATGAAACCATGCCACTATTACGTGCAATATAACACCCACACATAGCGTTATCTCTCGTGATCATCACGACCCGAATATCCTCATTTTTCAACTGCTGAATCGCGTCGTTTGTGTCTTCTTTCAGTTCATTTCTAAACCGAATCAATCCCAGAAGACACAAATTTTCGTCCACATTGTCCCGATTCGAATTTTTTTTTGTCGATTCCATCGCTCGACCAATTACTTGGCAGCTCTCGATATGACAATTCAAGTACATAGCAACCATTCTTTGCAAGTGTATCCGCCACTTGTTTGTACTCACTTGGAGCACTATCCGGCTTACTGAGCTGCTGCAAGATCCTTTGCAGAATACTAACAATCTACCGGTTACTCGGTGTCGTACCACGACACTCATGGACATGCGAGGGTGATCGAAATCGAAGCGTTTAAGGAACTCAAAATCGTCTCCGGAGGTGAATTTTATGATCGGTTGAGCCCCTTCTCGCTCCACTCCATCCAGTGAGCCAACGGAATGAGACGTCGCTAGTGCACATTTTGCTACTTCCATGAAGTTATTTTGGTCATTAGAAATTGTGACGATAGAAATGCCACGTCGCTAGCATAGCGAAGCAAATCAGGTACACAAAATACACACCAATTGGTAGAGGTTCCCCAAAATTTGTGAATTGAAAATTTTCATCTTGTCGGTCATTTTTGCAGAATTTTTTCAGCTCGTCATCCATCTGCTAGCATGAGGCTAACACAGTGAGCTCCAATTGGGAACGACGCATTGTTGTTGCGAGGGTTTGACGGCGACGTCCAGAAGACGGAGGCGTCTTGGGAATTTTCGATAAGTGAGGCATTTTCACTACCACATTGAAATTTTTGTTGAAGTTCTCCAGTCTTGAAATCGACTACTACAGTCTGGATACAGACGGATGCGGGATCATCGTACGTGAAGATTGGCGAGTCTGGAGTGTAGCGTACAAAAGGAAAGTTAACCTGACGAGGTTGCATCCACCCGGTTTTTGTAGTCGTCTTCGTTAGTTGCCTCCTGTAGGTCGACAGGACTTTGTATACACCTCACGAGTTGTCGGTGAAGTTGAGCAGCAGTAAAACTCAGGCTGGTGACGTTGCGGACACGCAGGGTAGTCCATCGGGTTAGCTGCAGCATCAACGTAGACTGCTGTTCCTATGAGGATTAAAACGAGGGCAAGAAGGCCGCGCATTGTGAAGATTGGAGGGCGAATCAAGAGTGTTTACATAACATCGAAGGCGAACCTGGTAAGACTCAACGGCTCTCGAGCACGTGCTGACTTTTTTTGGATTCGGATAGAAATGTTTTTTTTTAGATTCTACTAAGGATTTAAAAATAGTTTGTTTAAATAAAAATGTTGAGCTACTCATCATCTTGATCGTTTATTCTTGTACTCGCTGTGAACGAGTGTCTTTAAGGAATGCCTCGACAATGTTCTACCATCTCGACTGAAGATGTTGAAGACTACATTCATCGTCAGTCAAGAGTACGAACCTGCACTTTATGAGCATTAAACCACACGACTTAAACACAATATTGTGCTGTCTAGCTCTGCGATTCACGTATCGAAGACGCGTACATGCGGCTTTCAGGTTGCTACGGCGACGTCGAACAGCGTGCTCCAGTTCCGCGTAAATCAATGAGCTTACCATCTCGTAGGCCTCTCGCGATTGATACAGGCATACGACCATCCTCAGCGCATGAAAGGCGATCAGAGAAACCTCGAGGAATTCTGAAGAAAACACAATCCCCCGTTAGAAATTCACATCCAAATCGTAAAAAAGAATCCCCCGACGAATGGTTCCAGCGTATTATGCACGCCAAGAAGCTGTCGCCTCTCGATCTGTGCGATGCTTTCTTGGGTGGAGGCGCTAGAAAGAACCCACTGGTGTCGTTGACTCACGTCTGTGAAGTTCTCTTCGATCTCGATCCAGATGGCGTCGACCCTGTGACGGAAGACATGGAGGTACTGTCATTTTTGTACTTACTAGGATACTTAAGTTTCTGACTATCTCATCTTTATAATTTAGGAATTCTTGTATCAATTTGCGGTAGAACATGGCGGAGAGATGATGATTAACATTCGAGAGGCTCTTAGAGCGCTAGATATCTGGCAGTCTCGAGTCACTTCTCCAGCCCTGAAGTCGGTCTCTGATCACCAATCTAAGGCGACCATCCTCGACTTGAAGAACAAAAAACTTAAAGAATTGGTCTTCAATTTAGAAGCTGCTAACCTTCGACTTAGTAGACAATTAGACTCTGCGAAACTAGCACGCAGTCCTCCTTCTACAGAGGAATCGTCTTCTCCAGCTTCGTCACCCAAAAGTCGAGTCAGAAGCAAGCTGTCCAGTGGCGATTTCTCGTCAACATTAAAGGCGACAGACACCCGAAAATTCTCATTCCAGAATGAAAAATCGTCTAGCTCGGGCTTACAAGTGGTAAATCTTCACGAACAAGAGCTAGTAGAGATCGCAAGTACGCTGCAATTGTAAGTATAGGCACTGGCTTTAACACCGATTAGCGTTTTCTAATCTAGTGCGTTGTATGCTACAGCACTGGAGTGCAGCGATTAGAGCAATTACTGATCGAAGGAGACACCGACTCGACTGGATTTGTGTCTTTAGAGCAACTTTGTTTGCTTCTAAAAGAAGATTTTGATCTGAAAATTAGCGAGTCGAGACTTATTGAGGTTTGTATGGGGATGAACTTCAACTCCAGTGGTCAACTGGACTATAAGGAATTTGTCGATGTGTTGATGGATATTCTCATATACGCGTTACCGGATATTCGCGAATCTGCTAAGAGAAAATCTATTCAACGTCTGGATCAGTATTTGCAGCGTGGCTTCCCACCTGAACGTGAAGACGTTCGCCAGCTTCTAGATGCTCTATGTTCTAAATATGATTTAGAACGTGACCAGATTATCCAGATTAAGGATTTAGTTCATGTATTCCACGTGGATTTGGTCAAATACCACGAACTCGAGTTACCTTTTCCGCTTCAAGAGCAAGAGATTATTCAGCTAGCTCGTCCTTTTATCCAGCGTACGACACAATCGGAGGATGTTGTCGAATATCCAGCGCTACTTGACGCCATACTGGGACCTATGTCTGGTGATAAATCGACTGATACAAAGCAGCTAAAGAGAGTTTTAGCGTGGGAGTTCTGGCGCAGTATTTTAAAGAATTTATGCGGTGGCGAAACACGTATGAAGTGGAAAGTTGTGGCTCAACTTGAGAAGATAATGACGAAAATTGATCCAGACAAAACGTTCACGATCTCAACGAGACACTTTAAGCGGATTTTCGAGCGACATATTAACCCAGAAGACATGGAAACTCTGGCAGCAGCTTTAGCAACACCAGATGATACGCAAGTTGTTTCAAATTTGAGATACGACGTGTTGTTGAAAATGGTATTTGGAGCTCCTGAGCTGCATGACCAACAGATTTACGAGATCATTCGCAAAAAGCTTTTACGTGACCAAGACCGACTCTACTCACTTGTCAAAGAGATGATGACTCAGAGATCGTCACACGAGCTTACCATTCAAGACTTCAGTGATACGTTCATCGTTCGAGCGGAGACGTATCCGTTGACGACCATCGAGATGTTGTATCTGTTCGCATCTCTAGATTCCGACCACGTCGGAACAGTTCAAGTAAAAACACTCAACAAATTCTTAACAAGAAACTGTTGGACCACGTTGTCCTTTCAAGATGGTGACATTGAATCGGTTAAGAAGCTCATCGCGAAGTGCTGTTCGTCGTACGATCTACAGCACATACTTGACAGTCTTGGACGTAGCTCTCACGGTTGGATTCCACAAGCTACATTAGTGCAACAACTGGACAAAATGTTCCGCGATTTGGGCGTTGTTGGTGTACGAAAGAAGGATCTGCAACGACTGGTGGAGAATGTGGTTCAACACACTGTTGGGGAGTTCTCAAAACCTTCAACTCGAGATGCAACACGCGTGCATTGCGACGCTTTCTTCGACGCATTATTCGACTGGAACGCTGTGCTTTCTAGCGTCAGACTACCGGATTCCTTAGTCGAAGTGAAGAAAGTTTTTGAGACTTTTGACTATAAGCACAACGGAACAATTCGAAGCGAAGATTGGAACAAAATTTATCGTGTGATTTGTAAGGGGAACAAAAAACTGGCCGAGTGGGAAATTCGTGTGTTGCAACGGAGATTTAGGGGACAAACACAAGGCGAAGAAACGATCGATTACGCTCGTATAATCGTGTTTTTACTGGACTTTCAGCAGCGACAAGAGAGGAAACGCTTACAAAGCCGAGTTTTACAACATTTCCAGCAGCAATTTACTCCTACTATTAATACGTCGACAGGTAAGGTGGAGAAGCTGTTTTAAGCTCTTGATACCGACAAGAAAGGGTACTTCAATGCAGCGGATTTGAAGGCGTATCTAACTAAAGAGCTCTTCGACAAGAACAAAAACGAGGAAGATATTAGCTCTGCACTTTTGAGCAGTGCAGACGCATTAACATCGGTGATGTGCCTTCTAGCAGGAGGTAAGTCGGGCCTTAGCCACAGTCATTCTAAGGACACCTCTGGCCCTCAAACCGTTGTCACCTTTGAGCGATTTTGTGAAATTGCGAGTGTGTTCAGCTCTCACAAAATACACCAGGGAGGCTGCATCTGTGGAAGATAATAACAGACAATATTAAGTTTACGAGTTCTTGAGATCATCGCACATGTCTCTGAGTGTCAAAACTCAGGTTCATAGACTTCGGTTAGGGCTATTTGAAAATTTTCAGAGACATCTAATTACTCCCCTATTTTTTTTATTACGAACTATATCCTCTCATTAGTGAGCCGTAATGATGTAGTTATGAAGAGGTCCTTAGGTATCGATTAATCCGTTCGGTAAATGTCGCTTCAAAAATGACATCTGCTGTTTCCTTTCTTGTTAAAGTTAAAGTAATTTTTTCTTGCAAGCCAGCTTTTTTAGCAATAGTACGGTCAGTAAAATTGAGGTCTTATCCATGTTTAATATATTTCTCAGCTCATACTCCTTCAGCTTCCTGTAGAAGGAATCGACTCACACGACTGCAGCCGACTCACTATCTCCATGCGATCTCACACTGCCAAACCCGTGAAGTGAATTAAACTTCTGTAGTCACCCGCTTCGTCTAAAGGGTGGCTTCTCTATCTTCAGAATTCGGACGGTTCGGAAAGCCAATAGCGCAGACACCTAGGCTCTTACACTTAACGACCCAATTTGCGAGCGCCAAGTCTAACTCTGGAAAGTGGACCGAATGGTGCGATTTTGTAGGCAGAGCTTCTTATACTATGGCTTCGAGTTGGTGTTCCTGGTTCTGGATGTTGCTAACCGTTGCCTGTGATAAAGTGCGCTGTACTGGCATACGTTTTGAGCTCACATTGCAAGCTGGACCTGGCTCAGTTATGGTTGTCAGCTTTTTGGCGGCAGATATATCGTTGCTGTACATTGGATAACCTGTTTGTGGGGTCTTAGTGGGCGAGTGTGTAAGTAGCATTGCAGTGAGGGCGGCGAATTGATAGATGCCATTGCAACCCGCCACTAGGCGGTTAACGAATCGTAACGACGCCCACCTGTCATGTGTGCCTTATATTGTCTCTAACTCCCAATAATAGTTCCTCCATATGATAATTAAGTTCTCACGACCCGGTATGATTCAATACAGAGAGGATCGTCTTAATCACAATCAATTTTTTTTAGCCAATTATGTATATTTTTTCTTGTAATCCACATGCTTTTACGTACTTTCGGTATATCTTTACTGTTGTGCCGTCAAGACTTGACTCAAGTGTGTTTTTGTTTGTTTTGTACTGTACATGTCGATCTCGTGACGATCTGAGCAACTTTTCCGAAGATCAGAGACGTTTTCCGATACGACAGACGACAAAACTGAATACCATACAAAGTCTACCTGTACACCAAGAACCCAAAGTTTTTTCTTCATGTACCATGTACAGTATCTGTATTGACAGCATTAGACTCAGTCGCTTCACCTACTGCATGTAGCACATCATTTGAAGGCGCCAAGTAGCACAACGCTTGTTTCTCTCGTACTTTAACAGCTAGTTTTTCTTACTAGAAATCCAAGGTCCAAATTGTACGAGTAGTGTACGAAAACACATTCACGATGTTGACATTTCAAAGCACCGCGTTTTTGGTGGTGCTGAAAAGGCAGCTACAGTACCTTCACTCACATGATGCAAGACTCTTAGCTTGTCGGATAGCTGACAACCAGTTTCATCTTGTTTTCATTATGAGGATTTAGGTGTACATTTACTTTACCGCTGTTTAGCATCCAGATCTGTGATTGTAGCTGTATTTACAAACATTAAGTGAATGAATAACATGCTAACACCCTAGAATCTGAAGAACCGCCTAATACACCGATTCAAGTTGGCGTTTCTACACGTGGCCCCCTTTGTCAATCGTGTACTCGATTCCACAGTCCGGCGATTTTATTGGTCAATAAGCCTTTCTTGAGGTTTGAAATGGGTGCCCTTCAGACGTAGTTCATCTTAAGCATCATGGCTATTTATGTGTACATGTACTGCACCGACATTCCATTGTCAAACATTGACAAACTTAGCTACCAAACACCCGAAACACACAAATCTTACCTACATCGTTGTGCATCAATTCGCCGTTGGGGCTCCACGTTTTGCAATAGCTCACCTCATGTGTAATTTTGCGTAACTATCATTACCGTTGTAGGTGCTCTAAGTTCTAAGAATGACTTTTATTAATAACTCCTGTAGTTTTATTTCGAGTACCTTAAAGCAAGCAATCTAACCCTGAAAACCGGCCAAAGGACAAAACAGATAGCCGGATCGGAAACATATATGAAGCATTCTGAGTAATGGGGTACTTAAGTACGTCAAATACCGCAGCATTTACTTGTTGGTCCTCATCCTATATAGCTTTGCCAGTCCTTTCTTCTCAACAGTATTTACGAAGTGCTCGTACATCGTGTAGACAATCCTGTACTTCTTTTCAATGGCGGGGTGTATCTTGACTGCTTTTGGTTATCGAGCATGGGTCCACACCTTCTGCGTGTCAGCGCTCAAATACTTGTTTCCTCCCTGAATATGGGAGGGCAGCGTCGAGTTGCGTTTTAAGAGCGGTTCCTTCCAGCAAGTCATCGGCCAACTTTGGATCGACAATTTTATTTTCGAGTTTGACGAGCCTGATAATTATCCTGGCGTTGAGGGGTATAGCGCCCGCTACTACCCGTTCCTCAGTGTTCTTAGCGTCCAACTCATCATACCGACGCAGAAATCGGTCCACTCTACCAATAGTCTTGTCACCATCGACCCCAAGCAACTTTTTCTGACTTGAGTCTGGACCTGCCGATGCAATTCCACTCAGGACGGCAGTCATTGCTATAAGGATGTAGCAGTATCAAATTTTTATCGACTTTTTGCTGCAACAACTTTAGCGACTTCGTAGAGACGAGAGGATTCTTCAATGACCACAGACATTGCAATGGAGTTCATTTTAAGCATTATGGAGATTTATGATCACAATGCATGTATTCATAAAATCTTGTGATGTGGCTGAGCCACTGGCAGCAGTCTGGCTCCCCAACTTCGGGTTAGGGAACAAAAAGTAGCTATTAAGTAGCCACACGAAATTAATCGTGCACTACTTCAAATTACACTACACTGAAACTCCCATCTTCTATCCCGAAGACGGCAGATCGATGCCCAACGCAACTCCGTGGAGCCACGAAGAGGACATCCGCCTCTGCAGAGCCTACACCAATATTATCGAGGATGGCTGCATCAGCACCGACCAGGACGCGACACATTTTTGGGACCGAGTCCATCAGACGTACAGTCAGCTAGGAGAAGACAGCGCAACCAAAAGAAAAACAGGGGCTCTTCAAAGCCTATGGGCCGGGCTCATTAGACCTGACGTTGCTCTTTACGCCTCCTGCGTGGCCCTGGTACATACCATGGTCTCATTGTATACACATTAATGTGCACTAATGCCTCACACGTACTGCATCTACAGGTACAAGATGAAGCACACAGTGGCTGGACAGACAGCGAATATTTGGACGAAGCTGGCAATCGCTTTACAGCAAAATACATTTTGCAGAAACGGTTGTAGGCAGCTACGTGATCTCGTTCGACGTTGGGGCTTCTGCCAGGCCGCGAACCACCCCGTTTCTTCTTGCGTGAGCGTCGTTGTCGTCGAATATAAGCCAGAGAGATAGAAAGATTCAGTGCGTGAGCGCTCGACATGTTCATAGTTTCCAAAGGTTTCGAAAATGCTGTTTGTAAGGAAAAAACTACGCTGCAAATTGGAAATGTGCAATACAACGGTTGGGAGCTGGCAAATGAATTGCGTAAAAACGGTCTCTTCTATGATGCAAAGGGGGCACAATTCCCGATTCACTCTCGATAATCACTTTTGCAATACACAAAACCGGTGGAGGTGCTCTTAATAGTAGCATATCCTACTACTATTTTTAACGCTACAATTACTTTTAGTTACTACTGCAAGCTCGTCGGAATTACTAAAAACGAATATATACCGGTTTTACCTTTTACAAGCCCCGTGTATTAGAAGCCCTTTCCCCACATTGAATTTCAGTAGTAAGAATAGAAACCCTGTATCGGAATACAAGCCCGGTCTATTATTCAATGATCGTCCTCCGTCTTTGTCTTGGCCACCCTCGTGTTCTGATCACACTTGGACACTCCTCTGGTGTACTGCAGTCGCTTGTGCATCTTCATCATGGCAAACAGACGCAATTCAATCCCTCTGTGGAAAAAGAAAGAGGGGTTAGATTGTATTCCAAGCCGAGCGGTGTCGCACTTTAGAAGTTGTGGTTGGAAGCTCGATCCAGGAACTGTGAGACGCTGGTGGCGCAACCGCGAAGACATTTGGGCAGCTAAACCTTACCAGCAACATCTTATCGGGGGTGGCCGCAAGAAAGCTCTCGGGGAGCTGGAAGATCTACTGCTTGAAGCGATCGTACTACGCAGACTTCAAAAAGAGGAAGTTACAAGGGAATGGATTGCTATCCAAGCTTTGCAGATTCACACCGAGATAGAAGATGGTCTAACACGTACTTTCCAAGCGTCATCTCACTGGATGAGCAGCTTTATGAAGCGCAATGATTTGTTTCTCCGACGTCGGACTAATCTAACGACATTGAGTGACGAACAACTTGTCGGTCGTGCAGTCTCATACATGAGATATTTGACTGAAAAAAGGCCGACTTCAACTTCGCACACACCGTTTTGATGGACGCGACTGCAGTGTACTTTGAAGACGCTCGTGAGCAGACTGTCGAGATTCGCGGTAGCCGTCACGTTGCTGTGAAGTCGACCGGATTTGGGTCTATGTGCGTTACGGTAGTTCTAGCCACCACTGCAATGGGTGTAAAGCTACCACCGCTTGTTATCTGGAAACACAAAAATGGATCCCGCAAGATTGAAAAGGTTGGAGGCACATACGTAGCCTATCAGCCCAAAGCCTGGGCTGATTCAGAGCTACTCTGCAACTGGATCGACACGGTGTTTCCGCGTGTGGTGCAAGCCAACGGCAAGGCTCTTGTATGGGATAGCATGAGGGCGCATATTTCCAAGAAAGTCAACGCCAAGTGTGCGGCTCGTGAAATCGCTATGTGTGTGATCCCTGGAGGTCTAACTGTTTGGGGGACATAGGAACAGACAGACTTTAAGGACATTCTTTGCGCTCTCATTGACGACTGGAAGAATTCGGATTGCGTTGAGTATACTCGCGCAGGGAACCCAAGGCCACCCAGCATCGAAGTGGTGTCTGGATAGATCCACAAGGCTTGGAAAGATACAGACCAGTCTGGGATCGACAATTCCGTGGGAGCAGCGGGGTTTTCGCCTATACATACTGAATGGTTCATCTGAAGACACGACGTGTACGGAAGACTTTTCCAGCAGGCATGGAAGAAAGAAGAAGAGAGTGATGAGTCGAACGAATATAGTGACGTTGGTGGTGAGCTCGCTAATGCGCTTGACGACATCGAGCTTATTGATGGATAACACCATCGACTGTATCTGGCAACGGTACAAACAGACGAATGTCGCGTACTCTAGCGCAGCGAGAGACAAACTTTGATGTAGCTTTCCTATTCAAATACACTCCATTTGCACCTTTGGTACCAGTAATTAAAAGCCCTCACCTAAATAATAGCCCCTCGTCATAACTGATCAATCTGAAGAGGGCACTAATAAATAGAAGTCCGGGTACTAATCGGTAAAATCCGTTAGTCACTTCTACCAAAGTAAGCAACTCGTCTATCAAAATTACTGAAAGGAACATCACGCTGAATGGACTCCTGTAGGTTGTGAGAGCCAGAGTACCTAACGTTTGCGATAAACTTAGTAGAGGCTCGAAAATTGAAAAGACGGAAGAAGATAATGCGTTATTTGTTATAAAAGTACAAATTTTCTCGCAGTGGCGGATGTCGTGTATTAACGAAAGCTAGAATTAATATTCCAAATCATAAACAGCCGTATATTGGTTAAAACTAAGGATATAAAATGTCTTAAACGAGTCCTAGAATGTTCTAAAAACTGCGTTTGGTACAAATAAGTGTGAGTGTGTGGGGGGGGCTACTTTTAGTAACAATATGCTCTGTTATTTAATGAGTAGCAGGCAGTCCGTTGTATGGGTCCTCACCCGAGTCAGTGTCAGCTTTTATAACTAATTTAAATATCCGTTTTTATTTTCAATTTGAGAAACACCAGCTCAACCACAGATCATAGACAAGAATGGCCCGGGGCTTGGGGATCTCGATTCGCTCGTGTGCTTCCGCTGCAGCAGCATTGCACCAGCTCAATCAGAACATGCAGTGCAGTTTGAGATCGAAGAAAGCGAGAGAGCGACAATACCGACAACATTGAGCTCGCGGCCGATCAATACGAAGCGAGAGTACGACATATATCAAAACGATATGCTGTGTGTGCCGATTGGAATTCTCGTGATCATTACACGGTGACTGGGGGAAATCTGCATCTGTTTCTCTCTAGTAGTGTGATAGGTCGAACGTCGAAGAAATACAAGGATAAAACCATCGGAGGGTCCACAGTTTGTGGATACGTGAGCGCTATTGTCGATCTTTACTATCAGCAAGTTACTCTGCGCACAAATTATAACCTGCCTCTAAGGACCACCTCGGTAAAGCAGCTAATATAAAATATTCAAGCTCAATAGACAAAGACACGAACAACAAATTACGAAGAGAGAGAAATGGGATCCTTACTGGACGGCTATTCCTCCGCCGAACAATTCCAGCAAATTTGTGATACTTTTCTTTCGCTGGATGATTTACGAGGGCGCACTGCCTTTCTTCTTTCACATTTTGGTCTGTTGCGTGGTGAGAATGTCCGCGATTTTAAGCTAGCTGACATGTTCTCGCAGAGACTAGATCATGAAGGCTTTCAGCCCTGCGTTGCTCTTGTTTTGCTGATTCAGCATGGAAAGACCAACACATTTGGCAAACTGCAGCATGTCGGGTATATGCGCAACAAAGATGTGCACGTTTGTCCAGTTGGCAGCGTCGCCTTGTACCTATTTGAGCTATTCCACGTGAAGCAGGAGCCATTCCCATCGCTTAAGACTGGTATGATATTATATTTTTTTACGCGGTCGACAGAAAACCCAGTCTATTACGTACAACACCCATTAAAAAGAGTTACGAAGGTGCGTTCAAGCACCTCGGTTTCACATTCAATAAAAATACACATATAAATCGCCTGCAGGGCGTACGTCAGCTGGAAGCAGCCGATGTGGATATTTCCCAAATCTGGCGACATGGTAGATGGGGTATTGTAACGGGCCAGGTATTTACTCCGTTATTTGCTTACACTATAGTGTTGAGGAAGCTCGCAATAGGACGACTGAGTCTTAGGTTTAAGGAAAAATCAACTCTGACTTTATTTTAGGACCAAGGCCACAGCCCTGGCCACGTCATAGTCCAATTGGCTAATAATGGGTCTGGCTCCCCATATATCAGCCAATGGCATGACAGCATTTCAGCACACGCTAGTCGTGTGCTGATGCACCTACTTTTGTAAAGAAATCTACCTACTTATGTAATGGAGGGGCCCATTACATTACCCCCCCTCTTAAAGTTGCACTTACGCAGCATAAGCAGTGGGCGAAGAACAAATCAATCTGCGTGAGGATGGCGAACGGGGACTTGGCTAACGGGCGGAGCGAAACAGAGACGGAGATATCTCCTGCGAAGCGCAGGAGCGACATAACTCGACTTGCGGAGAAGACGACGAACAGCACGATGGATCAACAGCGGACGGGGACACCGACGACGGCGACGTCGTCGACCGCAGCGGCACGGGGCACGCGCGTGATGGACGACCAGCTCCGGGCATGGGCTCTCTATGACATATCCGGAGCGCGGGCTCCGGACACACTGGACACGATGAAGGATCACTTCCGGCGCTTCCGTGGACTGCGTCAGAAGCCTGTCGAGGGTGTCGCATATGGCGCATTGCAGGAAACATGGTGCGCCTTCATCCGGCGTTGGAACCGGACGCAAGAAGAAGGGAAGAGCTTCGTCGGCTGGCTGGTGTACCGCGAGGAGATCGTCAAGGAGCACTCGCTCACGGAGCTCCGTGAGCGCGTCTGCACCAGCGCATGGGAGGACATGCGCCGCATCTGCTACGTGAGGGTCGCTGAAGGTTGTGGCACTTGTACTGGATCGCGTCCGACTGTCGAGGAGTGGAGAAGCTACATCGCCGAGTATACGCTCGGTGAACAAGAACACGGGTGGATCGAGAAGTATCGTCGCTCGTTGGCCGAGAACGTGCGCGCCTCTAATCGCGCCGGCTCACGCCGACGCCCTGCACGTGAAGATTCTTGGCATCGGACTCGGTCTCGTTCGCGCGGCCGCTCAAGTCGTCGTTCTCGATCACGTTCGCGTGGTCGCACAAATCGCAGATCTCGGTCCCGTTCACGTGGTCGACCAAGTCATCGGTCTCGATCACGTTCGCGTGATCGCTCGAGTCGCTCTCCTTGTGCGAGCTGGCATGTGTCACAAGGTGGTTTGCAGCGAGGCTGGACTCATACGCCTGGACCACATTCGGGACGTCCCGAAGGAGATTGGCGCGAGGCTCCCACGTATTCTCGTCGGGAGGAAACCCGAGCCAACGTACCCGATAGCGACGGTCGGCTGGAACATCGTGGGCGAGCCCACGATGACGTTTGGGAGCGCGAAGTAGATCTTCGTGGGCAACGATGTACTCAACAATCCAGCGGGTATCTCCGGCAGCGTCAACAACAGGAGGAGGGCCGTCGCGTCGATAGCACTCGCGCTCTGGCTGCCCAGAGCGAGAACGACTTGCTGAACAGCTACTGGGATGTCCAGCAGGAGTTGGATGAGGCTCTCGATCAGACTGCCTCGGGCCACCAGGGAGAGTGCGCAGCTGCGTCAGTCAAACCGAGAGATCCTTGCTCGGTTGCAGATGCTGGAGAGGTCGGTTCACGGACGTTTGCAGACGGGGACGCAGCCTCGAGATCCGACTCCTGGTGCGGATGGGTCGATGGCTCGCCGCGCCCGTCGAGAAGGTCGCTCGACGCATGCTCCGGCTCAGTAGCCTGAGACGACTCTGGAATCGTAGCGGGGTGATACTTCTTGAGCCGTCCGACGTAAAACGTCGGATGCAGACGTAGTGACGTAGGAATGTCAAGCGTGTAGGCATCACCAATGGCTTTGATTACCGTAAATGGCCCAATAAAGCGCGGCGCGAGTTTGTTCGCGCCGAGGTTGGTAACCGCAGAGTTTCTGATACCTTCAGTCGACAGGAGCACGCGTTCGCCTGTCGTAAACGTGGCCGTGTTCTTGCGGCCGATCCTATCGACGTTCTCCTTCTGCTTGTCCACTGCATCCTGCAGTGCGTCTCGAACATAGCGGGTGACCGCTTGGCGCTGTAGTACGAAGTCGGAGACGACTGCGGAGTCGATTGGTCGCGCCGCATGCTTCAGCGCGTAGTTAGCTGGCGCAAGTGAGCTCGATGCGGAGCGTGTCACTGCGTTGACGGACGTGGGAACAGGGGATACACTCGAGATATCATTAGCAACCGGTGTATGTACCGGTTGACCCAGTACCGGTGTAGCCGCCGGAGACATCGCAGATGGAGTAGACGGCTTGTCGGCAGCTTCTTCCCCACCCAGAGTGGAGACACGCGGCGCTGTGGGATGGCCCACGGCGAGGAGAGCAGGGACACGCGGGTGTCGCGCGTTATTAACGAAGAAGGGCGTCAGCCCAGTCGACGCGTGTACCGCGTTGTTCAGAGCGAGCTCGGCCAGTGGCAGAAACGAGCTCCAGCTGAAGAACGACGTCGCGTAGCTTCGAAGGACGTCTTCGAGGACGCGATTTACGCGCTCCGTCTGGCCGTCCGTTTCCGGATGGGCTGCTGTGGACATCATTAGCTTCGAGCCCAGTAGCTCGAAGAGCTTTGACCAGAAGGCCGACGTGAAGCGCGGGTCGCGGTCGGAGACGATAGATTCGGGAAGGCCATGATGACGGAAGACAGCATCGAGGAAGTGCACCGCGGTATCTGCCGCGGTGATCGCATCCGACACAGGAATCAGGTGAACCATCTTGCTGAAGCGGTCTACGAATACCAAGACACCTGATCGTCCTTTAGCATCGGGTGGGAGCCCG